GGCTCCCGCCCCTGGCTTGGAGGTCGTCCTGCTGCCTTCGCCCGCCCTGAGGGGAAATGCGCAGCCGAGACCTGGCGGCGAGGTCCCGCAGCCCGCCCGGGATGGCGGCGGGAAGGAGAGAGGCGCGACAGGCCGGACGCTGAGGAGACTGAGGTACCTCCCGCTTCCCAGCGTGGGCATCGCCCTCCGCCTCGGGCTTTAGGGGGTGATCGTCCTCTGTAGGCACAGAAATTGCGGGTTCGTGCCAAAGGGACGGTGCAGGGACGTACACAGTGACAGATCGATCTCTGTAACTCGGGCCCCGCTGGGTTCCTGACACCTCCTCAGGGAGTCGGGCGCTGTGAGGAAAAATCCCTGCGGCTGGCCCCAGGCTGGGCCCAGTTCGCTGTGCTGAGTCCATCAGGTGGTTTCCAATTTTAGTTCTCCAGATTGACTCATAACTGGCGTCTGTTCATGAGGGAACGAGCAAACTGCAACTCCCCTTCAGATAGGATGCTTCTCTGGAAAGGGGGCTATGTCCACCTCCAGAGCTGTGCTTTGACTAACTTTTTCTCTGCAGAACTGCCCCTCTACATGTCAGATCTGGGGTTTCAGCAGAATAATTAAGTGGAAAAATAACCCAAATGCATTGACAAGGCTGGCAGTAATCCCCGGGCTAGCATGAGTGAAAATCCACCATGCTGCCGTACTTCCATCGTGTCTCAAAGAAGCAATATGCGATGTGTCACAGGCCCAGTGTTTAAAACAAGTGGAAAAGATACATATTGCTTTTAGGTGGTAAAGACCACCACTTGTAAGATGCCTACTCAGCAGTATTACGTAATATTATTATTGCACTAATAGGCTTTTTCAGTCCTGGAGCAATACACAACTGAGTCAGAAGGCATCCAGAGGTAATACTATTCCCACGTACAAATTTAGAAATATACTAATAAACAGAAATGTTTTCCTTTTATTTAATTAGAACAGTTGTTTTTTTTTCTAGCATAAGCATTTTGTAAGTGATCTGCAACTGAATAATTAGTAAAAGGAAAATCACCAGAAAACGTAAAACTTAAATCTAGCTTCACTGAGGTGAAGTAATAAAGCCTCAAACTTCTATAAAACCTTTGAACATGCACCTGTTGTTAATAAAGCAAGTGCATTAGATTAATATAAACCCTTCGGGAACCTGTTGCTGTTTGTAACATGGTCCAGGCTTTGTTTAGTGTTTAAGGAATTATTTTAATGAGACTGTTCGTTCAGTGGAAATACTGGAAGGGGGAAAGTCAAACTAGTAAGCATCGGCTGAGTTTCGGAGGAGCAGGGATGCTGCCATACCTGCAGCAGGCAAAGCCTGTCCCAGAAGCCGGGGATCAGGGCTGCGCTTGGCTCGGTCAGCTGGAGAGGCGTTTGGTGGAAGCCCTCGTCAGAGGTTGGTTTGCCCATCGCTGCCTGTGGGGTTCACATGGGCGCTCCCCCCTTTTTCCTTCAGGTCTTGTACCCTCCAGGTGAGGCAGGGGAGGGCAGGGGGGGTCAGTTCAGGGAGCCTGGGGAGCCGGAGCAGTTGGCTGAGGACCACCTGGCTGAAGGAGCACCCCAGCATGGGTGATCCCGGAGGCAAAGAGGATGTGTCCTCTGGTTTGGTGGCCCTCTGCCTCCCTGCTGGTCGGAGATGTCCCTGGCCTCCAGCATCCCAGGTGGGGCCTCAGCCCATCCCACAGACATAGTTCAGCAGTCCCCTGCAGATTCTGCGGACAAAGGGGGGGCGGTGCATGGGATCAGCAGTTCCTGCCCACTCGGCAACCTCTGTCCCACAGGAAACTGAGTGTCATAGGTGGTAGCACGATGTCCCTGTCCCGCCTGTCCAGGATCCCGCAGGGCATGACTCCTCCGGGTGCCGGGGACACTCCGGGGCCCGAGCCAGCCCTCCAGGTGCGGTGGTACCGTCGCCGGGAAGGGGGAGCGTGTGAGCGGCCCCGGGGGCGGGCGGGCCGCAGTTTCCGAGCCGCGAGTCGATCGGGGCGGTCCCGGGATCGAGCTGTGCGGTCTCTTTCGGGCGGCTCCCGGAGGGGGTGCTGGGGGTTAAGCCATGCCCTGCCGTTGAACCGGCAGCCCCTATCCTCCGCTAAAGCCGAGGAGAAGGGACGTGTGCGGCGGCACCGGCTTGTAGACAAATTCCGGCTCCAGTAAAGCCTCTCGCCGTTTTGCCTACGGGTACACAGCGTTTAAAGTGGGGGGTAAGCGCAGGGGAAAGATGCCCTGGCTTTTAGGAGCCCTCTGCCTTTCACCTTGGGCAGCTGTCCCATTTTACGCTCCTTCCCGGCCAGGGAAGAGCCCTCCCGGGTCAGCAGGCAGGAGCACCCGCGGGGAGCGCTGCTACAGCCCGCATCGGGTGCTGCAGGAAGCTTCCCGGTGACAGCGGGGCTGCCGGAGCTCCCGGTCGGCACGGAGCCGGACCCAGGCTACTTAGCAGGCACTGGGAGTTAGAGGTATTACAGGACTCCCTCCACTAAAGTACATTCAGTCAGAGAAGGTGATGATCAAGAGAAAAGTCTCATAAATTTCCATTTTTAATCCAGGAGAGGGAGGACAAGAGATTAAGCATAAATCTGTTCCCTGGAGAAAGCAAGCATCGCTCTTACTGCACTGGGCACCTGATAGTGCTCGCTTCTCTTATGGCTATCAACCTCACCCATTAAAGACGATGCTGAGATTGGAACTAATAACTGATTCTTTTGAAAAAGACTCTTAGAAATGGTAACATCAAGTAACAGTTAAATGTACTTTAATTCCTTCAAACAGAAGGATATCTTGAAGGTACATCAGAGATTATTTCATTGATTTCAGTCTCTTAAAAAAAAAAAAAAAAAGAGCATGGCTTCAAAATTGAGGAACAGTATCCAATAAACAAAAGTACTATCATTATGCACCTGTTTTAGAGGGTGGTACAAAGAGAAGCTTACAGATTCAAATGAATGGCATAAATGACTGAGAAATCGATTCAGATAATGCTTGTTTGTTTACAGGGACAAAAACTATGTTGACAAGTATGAATAAGCACACAGATAATCTGTTTGAAAAAAAACCAAACCTTTCTAACTGTATTTACACACACAGATGTATTTGCTTTCCTTTGGCACTAGAAATTACAGACAAAAGATTCCATTTTATAGCAATTAAACTTCAAACTTAAAATAAAAATAACCTTTGAGTCATTTAAGTCATACAGCCCCAGCACAGTAGCTTCACTTTTATTAAATTGCCACAACTGTATATTCTAACCCTGCAAATTCAGCCTGAATTCAGCTTCCACCTCCGGCAAATTTCACTTGGCAGGATTTAACTGGATGTGAGGAGCTCAGGCAGCTGTGGGGAATTAATGAGAGATACAGACAGATATTTAATAGGAATGAATCTCCCGTTCTTATCCAAGGTGGACATCTACCTTTAAATGCTCTTTATATGCATATACAAACTAAATCAAGTAAAAATGGACACCCATTACATATATTCAGCCAAATTAGACATTAAATGAACAGTCAGAGCACGTGATGGCCATCTGTAGTATTTCTTCAGCATTGCAGAGAGGTGTGCTAATCCCTACTCATTTCCATTGCTAGGAGAAAAAAAAAATTAAGTTACACTTAACAAACATGGTTTATTCTTTTAGCATATTCGTTTGCTCTTTAGTTGTTGCCAGGAGTAAACCCTTAAGTTTCACAGGAAATTCAGTATTATCAGTACAGTAGCAAGACTGTTTTGGCACCCTGTAAAATCGTAAAGAATGTGCAAGAAAAATCTCAGAAGTAGCATTTCATTATCCAACTTCTCATTTCTTGTTCATGGTATTTGACTTTACAGAACCTTAAGCTTTGATTACTTTCAAAACAGGTTTTATAGGTTTTCTGCTAGTAACCAACAGGGGTGTAACAATGGCACAATATTTTTCCTAAAGCATTAAAGCCTAGGAAAACATTATTTTCCGTGAAGAACTACAATCAATTAGGACTACATAAAAATTAAGTAACGAGGCATCATGGCAAGTAATAGCACATCGACCCTCTACTGCAACAGGAAGCGGTTTTCAATCTTACAACAAAAAGGAATCAGATGAAAAAGAATCTAAAATTTATAGACTTCATAGGTTTTGTTACTTCCCTCTCTACATGGTAAGAAACCATTACCAATTAACATTTCACTTTGCTCTGCAAGCAGGATCAGGGCAGAAGCTTTTGTTGAGATGGAATAAAGTAAATGGTTGCCTTATTTCTGCATTGATCACATGCAGACTAGATGTTGTATTGTCTCTGATAACTGAATTGAATCCAAGCTGGACCAGACACTTAAGATAATGTTCACCCCACACTTATTACTTGGGCATGTCTCAAATAGAGATTAATCTTGTTCTGCTAAGCATATTCTTAAGCGTCAAAAAAAGCTGAATTTGACTATAGCAATTTCTGTGAGGAAAAGGAATCAGAGAATATAACAGCAAGTCTTCCCAGAAGACAGTCTTTTCTACACATCCAAAGAGAACTAGCTGTTTGAATTTTAGATTAGCTGATACAACATTTTAAATATTTCAAAAGCACAGCATGTTAAAACAACTTTCATTACACTTCGTGGAATACCAGTACCAACAACCTCTATGTGAAATTGTTACAAGCTACTCAAATGCAGTATCTTAAAATGAAAGAGAGTATATCTAAAGCATATATACATGCTGCTACCAAGGAAAGAAAGCAGTGAAGTAGCAACTTTTTATACATGAGCTTTGCTAAGAATCTTGCTCTTTCAAATAGCTCAAAAATTAGCTTGCACGTAAGATTTATTTTCAACTGAAAAGACTTACAAAAACACTCAAATCTTATAAGACCTCCTTGGTCTTTTTATTCTGAGCTTGCATGATATTTTCATGCAAACTGATTTATTGGAGATACAGTACTGCAAATTACTACTTAAAAGAAAAAAAAAATCTAAGCATCAAGTGATTTTTTTATATTTTTTTGCAAAAAAAAAAAAATTAATATAAACCTTTGTCTTCACACAAGGCATGTGTACCTACAGCCCTGTCTTACAGAGTTAGGTAATTCAAGAAACAGCGTGGAGTAGGAACTACCAAATGAAACATTTTACAAGTACTGAAATAGTGGAAACTAGATTAACTGATTATCAGCCCACGCAACCACAAGGTTGCATTGCACTACATAAATACTGACCAAATGCCCCCAAAAATGCCAAGAAACTACAAGCAAGTTCAAAACAGGATATTAAAGCTTTCTTTCAGTGAAGACCAACCAGTCCCTTTGTGTACACATTTAGTTTTATTGTAACAAAGCAACTTGTACACTTTAACGTTTAAAACTGAGCATCTTTCTTTCCTTTCCAGTGAAACAAAAAAAAAAAAAAAGAATTTAAAAATAAACAAGAACAAAATTACAATAGAGAATGTCAATTCCAAATAAGATCCTACAGGTTCTGCTGATTCCCCATCAAGTGGCAGGGCTCAAAGTCATCATTAGGAGAAGATTTTATTTTAAAAGTGTCATCTTAAACTGCAAGGATGTTTGTTAAACATCACAATTAAACATGCCAAAGGAGAAGAAGCCATGTTGTCAAAATGCCCACTTAACCCACCCAAACATCTGAAACCCACCCCGGCTGACCTTCTATAACCCCATTTATTTATTTTTTTTTAGTTTTTTCTTTTTTTTTAAACAAGAGAAAGTAGACAGATACATGTTGGTAAATGCTAACTGTCCATATTCACATAGAGACACAGTGTAATCTCTGAGCCCAATATACAGAGAAAGAAGGAAAAAAGCTAGATTCTATGCACTACTACACAGGGGCCTAGCACTCTTCAGCTTCCAGCAGAGTGAAGGGAGCAGAAGGTTTTCTTTTTTCCCACAGAACATGGTGTGTTGATTCCATAAACAGTTTTTGTTTTGAGACAGAAAGGGATAAAAATGAACTTGAAACAGAAACTGGTAGATTATTTTCCACTGTATTCTGCTCAAGGTATTTCCCCCAAAATAAATTGTGAACCATGGTGTAGAGGAGAGAAAAAGAGACCTCAAGAGAACAAGGCGACTGAGCACAAGAAAAAAAAGACAGCAACTTGCTCCCAGGGACTGGAGAAAAATTAAAAAGGTAAAAAGGGGGTTTGGAATCCATCAGTGTTCAATTAGTCATCTTCTCCTTCATCCTCCTGTTGAAAGATAAGCAACAATTAAAAAAATCTAATCACTAAACTTCAGATAGCACGAACTATCAAATGCAATAACCAGAATGTTTTACTACCCTATAGAGTTACTCATAGCATGCTGTATGATGACCTCTCTCCCTCTTCACTAAGGAGTAGTAACACTTGCCATGAGAACCTATCTACATAGAAATCAGTCAATAACCAGATGTCCCAATGAAAAAACATCAGGTTTGAAAAACTACTCTGACTTAGAATCACTACAAACATTGAAAAAACTTCTAACATTTAGAAAGTGAAAGGGTCATCTTTTTTTCCCCTCATTTTAAACTCTGAAGAGCAAAATGCTTCAACTTTCAGGTACTAAATTCTAGGTTACGTAATAAAGCCCAGTATTCCGGTGCCCACAACAGCCCTATCTCAATACAAGTAATTTTTTGCTGCTGAAATTCAGACACACCATGCCAAATTACCAGAAACAAAGACACTCTACACTTAAAAGTTACCAACACCCTGAATGCTGTCCCTGGAATCCCACTTGCTACTAAAGGAAATTTCTAGTTCCTGAACCCAGCAGAGTGTCTTAGCTAAGCAGGCCATAAGCAGAAGTAAACCAACAGGTGGGAGGATAACAGAACTGGATGCATCAACAACAGTAAAAGCCTTGCTAGAATGTTCACTAATTAAATGAGAATTTTGTTACACTAATATCCTAGTTCTTCTAGAGCACTTTCCTTACAAGTGTACTAAAACTACTTATTTGCAGTCTCTCATATACACAGTTATTCATACACTGACACCACTCCACAAGGTCGTAACAGTTCTGCTTCTCCCCTCCAAACACCTTGTCAGTGATTGTACAGAAAAGAACTATTTTACCTTTGTGACAAAGGCTCAGTATTCTTACAAGATCCGTCTTAGAAATTTCTTTTGATTCTCATACACCAGAGATGGAAGGAGTAAGGGGCTAGATTACTCACCTCTCCTTCCTCTCCCTCATCGTCATCTTCATCTTCCTCCCCCTCATCTTCATCTCCTTCTTCGTCAATATCCTCCAATCCTTCTTCCTCTTCATCATCATCATCATCCTCTTCTCCCTCCCCTTCTTCATCATCCATATCAGGAACCTTAAAGACACATATGCAACGTTAACAACAGCGATCAAATTCAGTTGCACGGTCCTTTTATGGGTATGGATCAACAACTCGCTGCTATACATACCAAGTAGTACTGTAATGGATTTGGCCAGATGTCATCCTTGATGACTTCTCCTAGTTCATCAGCCCCTGCATCGGAGTGGTCAGTGAACCAAGTAAAGAAACTTTCTGGCTCTTCATGCTGCCTCTTCCTACTGGCTTTGTTCTGTGTCTGGCTTGAACGTTTTGTCAGATCCTGAAAAGAAAGTTAACAAGTTCCCTAAACAAGTTGTCTTTAGATGGCTTTTTTTTAATAACCACCATTTAGAAACGTGCTTATCTGAACAACTACAAGAAGTCACTTATTACTCCCTCTTTCAGGGAGAAGTCTTTAAGAAATGCTTGGAACCCAAATGACTTCCAGAAAAAGATACCACTCAGCCACTTGCATTTCTTACGAACATGAGAAATAAGTAAGACTTCCCATTTCTTGTAATGACCTCCACTGAAATACTGAAAATTCACAAGATCTTACATTTGATTTATACTTCCCTATCACAGGGATGCACAAGCATGACACGCATTTAATGACATACTGAACTTACAAGATCTCACAATGGCTAAATACTACTTAGAATAGCTGTAATTGTAGTTAAATGCTACGACTATGACATACATACAATTTAAGAAACACTCAGTCTCCACACCTCTAACCTGTCTTTAACTTGAGATAAAAGAACTGTCTAGCCTTCTTATCCTAAGATTTCCCACTTTGAAGTCCTGAGGCCATTCTTTGTAGTGAAGTGAAAAAAACCACACAAACTCCTAAAACATACAGTCACAAGAACATACAAGAGTCCTCTATCTACCACCTTACCCCAGAATTTTAATAAGTTTGCAACGATCTGTTTGCCAAGTCTAAAGAAAAACTACTATCTGCTATTTAAATGCATTCCTTCCCTGACCATATGGCAATTCCAAAGTTCTAGTATTTGCTTTCTTGATAGAGTCACAACATTTATAGGTTTAGACTGTTTAACAAAGAAGAATACCAGAATTCACATTGATTTTGTGACAGGTTGTAAATATCACATTCAGCTAGTCTGTACTAGACTGTAACTTCTCATACAAGAGCAAAAGTTCTAGTTCTCAATGAAAGAAAGATCTAAGTTTTCTTCTCGACCTGAGGATGACAAAACAAGCAGCAACTAAACTGCAACCCTCAGTTCTACTTCTAAACACTCATTTCAAAATCTTCAGGATAACATGAAAGTGCTCCCGATTAATTTGCTGTAGTTTCTGTAAAAGTTATGCTTCAATACTGTCTGGATGAAAGATATGCCCACATTATTGTGCAGGTGCAACTTCTACAAAGATGTAGTGTCTGGATATGAAGTTGAGGAAATAAAAAGGAGGGGAAAAAAAACCCACCACCCAATCTGATCTCCCAAATTTCTGCTATCCTCAGAATTCCTTATTTAAAAGTTATTTCAAGGAAACAACAAAACAGAGTCTAGACTGATGCCAAAGAGAGACAAGCTAATGCACTTGTTAATCTCTCCATCTGGTCAAACTTTCACTGTTTTCATGGTGATGTTCAACCGGGTAAAATAATTAACTACATATGTAAGTGGGGTATTCCCAACCCTGCAAGATGGACATGAACTACGTAGAGAAGTGGCAAGGGGGTTGAAAGAAGAAAAGGGAGGACAATACACACACAAAAAAAAAAAGAAGTATCACAGAGAGCAGCAATCATCTTTCCTAGATGCACAGATACATACCTTCCCAGATTTCCATTTGATCTCAGTTGATTTTGAAGATGGGTCTCCACTTTCATTGAGGTGAAACTCTTTGGAGAGAACTTTGTTTTCAAAGTATGGATTCTCATCAAAATACTGCAGAGTTGAAAGGAAAGAGTTAGAACCCACATAATATAAACACACATGCCAAGTCAAACCTGGCATGTTTGGATAACTGAAGAGATTAAGTTACAAACTACAATCCAATATGCAATTACATTAAAAAAAAAAAATCAAATGTGAAGGAATTATTTAAAGTACTTACAAAATCTATTCTGTAACCTGATTTGATGTCTTCAAATTCTGTCACCTCAACTCTGGTCAAATAATGCAGTGCTTCCTCATCTTCTTCTCCCAGCAGTGCAGATACTAAGACAGAATTAGGAATCCCACATGAACAAAGCTACGAAACATGTATCATGCAGGCGAAATACAGAAAATTGATAGTAAGAAATATTTGAAAAGCAACACATCTATCCAAGCCAACTTCTTGTGGCCCATTTTTTTCAAGTTACCAGCCAACAGACTATTAGCATTTGTGTGATTTATTTGCGTTTGCTGAAGAGAAAACATTACATTTGCTTGTTGTAGTTCAATGTTAAAAAGCAGGAAAAGCTGTATGCATACAGCTACCCTTCTCCTTGAAAAAGATTTTCACGCATGTAGTTTGCCCAATCCAAGCAGTCTACAAACTTGTTTTGGAGCAAGTTTATTGTCAAGAGTCCCAAGGAACTCACCTCCAATTAAAAAAAACACCAAAGGAACAAGAATACTTTTCCTTTAAAGGGCCCAATTAAGTGAAAAAAGTGGGAAACTTGTCATTTAAAATGCAGAAATAAAACCACCATGGAATTTTAGTGAACAAATGTTCCTTTGGTAAACAAGTGCAAGAAGTAAAAAGCTTATAAACTGTACTCTAGGACAAAACGGAAGTGTTTGCATATGAAGCAGGCTTCTGTTTAAATGGATGCCCAGCAAAAATTCTAGAAAAACCTCAGAGCTGCAAAGCACATAAGCAAGCAAACACTAAATTTACAGAAAAAAAGAGGGCTATTAAGAATATACCTTGTGGGTGGTTGACAAATGTTGTTACCCAGAAATTTGGGATTTTGGCGATCAATTCTGACCTCTTCTGGAAGAATGGTTGGCGGAGTTTGTTGTATTTCTGTTCTACTTTCAAAATTTCCTCACTGGCTTGTTCATTCAGTCTGTAACAGAAAGAGCCACGTTAACCACAGGAGAGAGAACTGAAATTTAAAGATGCATCATCAGTAGTTAGCTAAAAACTGAATGGGTTTGATTAGACTAGTCTGCCATATTCAACAAATGAGGTATCTCTAACAAAAAAACTGAGACCCAAACCTGTAGCCACTATTAAGAAACACACTACCAGAAGCAATCTCACTCATCTTAATGAAACCTTAACACATTGTGTGTTTTGCAGCATTACATGTGGGACAGACCCTTATTTATACAAAGCAATGTAGTATTTTATCTCATAAACGTTTTGTTTGCAAAAGACCTGAAGATGGATAACACATAACGCTATCACCCGCTCTTTATAACTTTCAGGCAGGCAAGCCAGCTACAGCAAAGCAATTTTGCACCCCACACAAATAAAATCTGATCACATTTAATTGGCTTTGTAAACAGCCTCAACAGTCACCTGCAGCCTTTGTAGGACAGTGTGCATGGATGTAAGATCCAGGCAAATACTGACAGAGCACCACAGAGTTTTGGCAGATTAATGTTTCAGTGGCACTTTCTATATATTATTGTACAAGCACATGAATATAAAACAAAAAAGTATAATAAAAGCTAACTTTTCAACCAAGTTTTTGGTTCTGCTTACAAAAACGAAAATACTTTTGCAAAACAGCATACACATTAACTTGAGAAACCAACACAACATAAATTTCTATTATTAAAACTACCACAATTAACTTGAAATTTTAAACTCAAGTTCTACCTTTTTAATTATACACAATTAAACAAGAAACCAGGATACTACTACATTTTTTTTAATCATAGACAAATACTTCTTACATCTAATCAAGTCAGAACACAAGTATATCTTGGCAGAGTTTAAAGAGAGCAAGAACTACTACTGAGTGCTTACTTTAGTAAATATTTTTATTTTTGGAAGTTACATTCTAGTTTTTGCTAAAACATTTTAAGTTTCTTTACCTGTCTATTTCATTCTGTACTTCATCAATGTGTTCAATTGCTTCCTGTTGCTCTTTTTCTGAAAAACAAATGAAAATGCATCAAAATCCCTTCATTCTGACAAGCATGACAAATCACCCGGGGTTTTCGCTTAAGACCTTTTCTAGTCATCTACTTGAGAAGCACACAGGTATTTCTATTAAATGCCAGAAGTGTTACTAGGCCTTAAAGCTTCAGCTACTTTCAGGTTGTATTACGGCTGAAGTGCAGAAAAGTTTGATGAAACGGCACTCAAAGCGAGTTTACCCCTGGAAACCACAGCTCACATTCCCCGCCACAGTTTTGCAAGTCAACTTAAACGAAGTCAATCATGAGAGATTAATAACAAGTGAGAAGCTGTAAGCCACAACTACTAAGACCAAAGCATTTGAAGGAACGTTAAATAATTTAGAGGGGACAGAAATATCAATAGGAATAGCATAACCAGGAACATGCCACCTTATTAAAAAAAAAAAAACACAACGAAAAAAAAAACGTTCAAAGAACGGTTACAAGCCAAAAAGAACCCCCAAAAAAACTTGAAACTCGCCGTTTGGCAGATAGTTTCTCATGGGAACTTCCCCTCAGCAAGGGCCTGGGTTACCGGAGGGCTGTTTACCCACCGCGCCGGCAGATGAATGAGCGGCAGCGGGAAGTGGCTGGAGCGGTGCAGCAGGCTCACGCCTCCCCCGGTAAGTTTCCCGCAGGGCTCAGCCCGCCGTAGGAGACAGCTCTCCCCGGTTGCGCGGG